AGGATGTCAACTGTGGGTGTGTACAGGACACCTTCCGCCTTACCTGTCAACCTCAGTCCGATGTCTCTTCCATCCTCTCCTCTTTGGATGACTGGGACTCTGTCCCTAGACAGCGCGTAGCCTCCCTTGCCAATCACCTGACCACTTTGACACCTTCTGGTCAGGACATGTTTCCTTCCATATCGCTCAGTGACCTTCAGTCCCATCAGAACCGAGACTCAGTCATTTCTAGGGTCTGTTATTATGTTGAGCGGAAATGCAGGCCCTCCAGACGTGAACGCTACAATGTGAGTCAGTCGACTATGAGGATCCTCAGGCAATGGGATAAATTGAAATTTTGAATGGTATCCTCTACAGGGTCACGAAGGACCCTATGTCGAAGTATAAGAGGTTTCAGTTTGTTGTACCTGATTCACTGAAGGCGGAAGTCTTGTCAGGTATTCATGATCACGCTGGTCATCAGGGTCAGCCCTGCACGCTCTCACTGGCTCGCCAGCGCTTTTTCTGGCATGACATGGAGAAAGATGTGCGCAACCATCTGCGGTGTTGTCAGAGGTGTGTCCTCAGTAAAACCCCCGAGCCGTCCGCCAGAGCCCTACTAGAGAGCATTAAGACCACTGCTCCTCTGGAACTTGTGTGTGTAGACTTCTAGTCAGCTGAGGGTAGTGACAACAAGTCTGTTGATGTTTTGGTGATCACAGATCATTTCACCAGGCTTGCACACGCGTTTCCTTGTCAGGATCAAACTGCCAAGAGAGTAGCCAAGAAACTGTGGGACAACTTTTTCTGTATCTATGGATTTCCTCAGCGCTTGCACTCTGATCAGTTGTACCTGCGCCACAGCCATGGCACAGTGCAGATCTTCTAAAAGAGACTTTACATAAGCATGTTTGGCCTGTAACCCACAGCGGGAGGCCATACGGGCCCAGCAGCGCGTTATTGCAAACATGTAAAAAGGCAAGGACGCAATTCATCTATTACTTTTTAATGTTTCACTGATGTCACGAAGGACATCAACCAGTTGATCGAGTCGACAGTTGATGCCCCTGATCTCCGACAGTATCTCCCCCTGCAGGTCCAGCACAGCTTTAGTCAGGACACGACCAGACAGACAGACCTCGGCACTTGGTGTGGACACGCTGGGGTCTGCGGTGTCGGAGGAGACGCTGGGGCCAGCGGTGACAGAGGTGGAGTCTGTGCTCTCTTCTGGGTCATTATCTACTGCAAATAAAAGATAACCTAATTACAAATGACTCACTGTTTTATATCCTACCATCTTTATGCATGTACTGTGGGCAATACGCGTATTGTACGAACAGTATCTGGACAACATTTATAAGTTGTTCATATTTACCTTGAGAATGCCCGAGTTCCCCTTCATGGGCTCACACCACTCTGGACAGCGTTGTGTCTGGACCATTTTTTTTTATTTCGGAGTGTGTGCACTGCTCCAACCCAACGGCGTTTACGGCATCACGCACATGCTGCCACTCATCCTTTTTCTTTTGGTATTTACCCCTGCTGACGGTACCAAATAAAATGCACCGCCGCTTCTGCACCTCACTCACTAAGATTTCCAGTTCCCTTGTAGTTGTAGTTCCCTTTTTCAGTTCTCATGATAAATTTGTATGCACAATGTGGGATCCTGGCCCTATTTAAATTAATTTGTATATTTATATGGCATGGTTCACCACTTGACCATCTGCACTCACTTCCACGTTGATTGGGATGTACAAACGAAACGTACTTGGATTCCTGTCAACACACAGATGCGTCCGAATTTTTTCTGTACCCACGAAGGTTTCTGGATTTTTGCATACACCCTTTTTCACGATGAAATCTATGCACATTTAGTACATCAGGCCCCAGGTGTGAAAAACTTGTTGCATCATTCCCAAAAAGTCTCATGGCTGTATTAGCTCAAAAGAGTGCTTCTAATAAATACTGAGCAAAGGGTCTGAATACTTATGACCATGTGATATTTCAGTTTTTCTTTTTAATACATCTGCAAAAATGTCAACAATTCTGTGTTTTTCTGTCAATATGGGGTGCTGTGTGTACAACAAAACAAACATGCTGTTTTGTCGTTTGTTGTTTTGTTGGCATGTTGTTTGAGTCTGTATTAGTGACTTTTTAGGAGTGTGGCTAAGGATATGGTAACTGTTCCTTGTGTAACAATTGTTATTCTGTTTTGTTCTGTTCCTGGTTCCCCCCTCGGGACACAGGGGAAATAGTACTGCCCACCACCATGTGTGGTGTTGTTCACTTATCTGTTTTTGTGACATAAACTAAAAGCTGCCTAAACCACTATACTAACATAATGATTTAATACGTGGATGATTTTTATATAACCATTTCAGTGATTTCTTAATTTCTTAAAAATAATTATAATTTTTTGATATAATTATTTTACGTTGATGTATTATATGTCTGTTGAGTATGATTTAGTGTCTCTATCATGACATTGTACTTTTTGTACTTGTTCTCTCATCGGACTGCAGAACTCTGGAGATGAGTCTGCAGTTTTATGGTTGGACCAGATTCAAGAGGCCATACTCACAGCCAATCAGAATGGAGAAGTCTCTCACGTAGGCACTCTTACACTTGCACTTATTTTACATTATCTAAATAAAAGAATAGATTTAGTCGTGGCCATAAATAAAGTAATAAAGCTGATTCATTCATATTATATATTTCTACATTGTTTTATGTTGTGTGGTATTTTTAGAAGCTAATTAGTAAAATACATAATGTAAGATAAGATGTATTTTGTGTATCTTTTGATGCATCATATTATTTCTTTGCAAGTTCAAAATTATTGCTGCTTATGTTATCTTTAGCTGATTTTCTTTTGGTTTTTCATTGTATTTGTTTATTTTGATGTTCAGCAGAACTCCTCTCTGATCCAATTATGTTTTCTTTTCACCAGTGGCTACAGCAGTAGTTGATATTAATAAGAGTGTCACAGAGGGAGACTCTCAGACTACACTAAAAGCTTTACAAGCCCCTAGTGCAGGACTGAGAGCAGTGCTGCCTGAATGTGCTGAAACATACCAGGTAGAACTGCGACTGAGACAAGCCCACAGTGCTGCTAAAGGTAACTGAATTCATGCATCACCAGAATAGATGCTATGACACAGTAGAAGCTATTTGGTTTTCAGAGGTGCATTGCACCCAATGGGTTTAAAAAAGATTTCCTGTTCTTTCTTCAGGAAATACAGATAGTGTTTGGGTAAAACACAGTGTAGAGGACAGATATGACTATTATTATAACCTGGAGACTGGACAGGGCTGCTGAGTGGAACCTGCTGGATTTCAGCACAATGATGGTCAACTCAGTAACTCCAGGTGTGGAACCACAAATTCTTCTTCTTTTCTTTTTCTTTCGGCTTTGTCCCTTTTTTTTCAGGGGTTGCCACAGCAAATCATTGATTTCCATCTCTCCCTGTTCTCTGTATCTTCTACTCTGACTCCAACTATCTGCATGTCCTCCCTCACTGCATCCATATATCTCCTCTTTGGCCTTCCTCTCTTTCTCCTACCTGGTAGCTCCATCTCTAACATTCTTCTACCAATGTATCCACTGTCCCTCCTCTGCACATGTCCAAACCATCTCAATCTGGCTTCTCTAGCTTTTTCTCCAAACCTTCCTGTCTGTGTTGTCCCTCTAATGACCTCATTCCTGACCCTGTCCATTCTTGTCACTCCTAAAGAGAATCTTAGCATCTTTAACTCTGCCACCTCCAGCTCCTCCTCCTGTCTTCTGCCTATTGCTACTGTCTCTAAACCATACATCATGGCTGGTCTCACCACTGTCCTGTAAACCTTTCCCTTCACCTTAGCTGACACTCTTCTGCCACCGATCACTCCTGACACTTTTCTCCAGCTGTTCCATCCTGCCTGTACTCTATTCTTCACCTCTCTTCCACAGTCTCCGCTGCTCTGAACAGTTGATCCTAAGTACCTAAACTCCTGCACCTTCACCACCTCTGCTCCTTGTAGCCTCACTATTTCACTGTTCTGCCTTTCGTTTACACACATGTACTCTGTCTTGCTGCGACTGACCTTCATTCCTCTTCTTTCTAGTGCAAACCTCCACCTCTCTAGGTTCTCTTCTAGCTGCTGCCTACTCTCACTACAGATCACAATGTCATCTGCAAACATCATAGTCCATGGGGACTCCTGTCTGACCTCATCTGTCAATCTGTCCATCACCACAGCAAACAAGAAGGGGCTCAGGGCCGATCCTTGATGTAGTCCCACCTCCACTTTGAAGTCTTCTGTCCTCCCAACAGCGCACCTCACTACTGTTGTACTATTCTCATACATGTCCTGCACCAAACTAACATACTTCTCTGCCACTCCTGACTTCCTCATACAAAACCACAATTCCTCCCTTGGCACTTTGTCATATGCCTTTTCTAGATCTACAAATACACAATGCAGCTCCTTCTGACCTTCCCTGTACTTCTCCATCAACATCCTCAAGGCAAATATTGCATCTGTGGTACTCTTCCTAGGCATGAAACCATACTGTTGTTCACAAATCTCCACTTCCTGCCTCAACCTAGCTTCAACTACTCGTTCCCAAATCTTCATTGTATGGCTCATCAACTTTATCCCTCTGTAGTTGTTACAACTCTGTGCATCACCCTTCTTATGAATTGGCACCAGAACACTTTTTCTCCACTCATCAGGCATCTTGCCAGTCTCTAAAATTCTGTTAAACAAACCAGTCAGGAAATTTACTGCCACTTCTCCTAAACACTTCCATACTTCCACTGGTATGTCATCAGGACCAACTGACTTTCCACTCTTCATCCTCTTCAGGGCTTTTCTAACTTCATCCTTTCTAACCTGATCTACCTTCTTCCTACTAGTCTCTGGCTCCTCGTTTCTACTTTCCCTTTCATTTTCCTCATTTAACAACTCCTCAAAGTATTCCTTCCATCTTCTCAGCACACTTTCCTCACTTGTGATCACATTCCCCTCTCTGTCCTTAATCAACCTCACCTGCTGCACATCCTTCCCAGCTTGATTTCTCTGTCTCGCCAATCTATACAACTCCTTTTCTCCTTCCTTTGTTTCCAAACTCTCATACAACTCCTCATATGCCTTTTGTTTGGCCTTGGCCACTTCCCTCTTCACCTCCCTTGTCCTCTCTTTGTACTCCAGTCTGTTCTCTTCTGTTCTGTCACTGTCCCATCTCTTCTTCACTAATCTCTTTCTCTGCACACTCTCCTGGATCTCATCATTCCACCACCAGGTCTCTTTGTCCTCCTTTCTCTGCCCAGAGGACATACCTAGCACCTTCCTACCTGTCTCCCTAATCACTGCAGCTGTAGTCTCCCAATCATCTGGGAATTTCTCAACACGGCCCAGAACTGCCCTTACTTCCTTCCTGAAGTCTTCACAACATGTCTCTTTCCTTAGTTTCCACCACTTGATCTTCTGCTCTGTCTTCACTCTTTTCCTTTTTCTCACCTCCATCGTCATCTTGCACACTACCATGCAAAGTTGTTTGGCTACACTCTCACCTGCTACCACCTTACAGTCTCTAATCTCCCTCAGATTACCACTTATACATAGAATATAATCTATCTGTGTGGACCTGCCTCCTCTCTTGTACGTCACCCTGTGTTCCTCTTTCTTTTGGAAATAGGTGTTTACCACAGCCATTTCCATTCTTTTCGCGAAATCTACCACTGCATGTCCTTCTAAGTTTCTCTCCCTAACACCAAACCTGCCCATCACTTCCTCATCTCCTCTGTTCCCTTCCCCTACATGACCATTAAGGTCTGCTCCAGTCACCACTCTCTCTCCCCTGGGGATACTCTCTATCATCCAATCAGCTCCTTTCAGAACTTCTACTTTTCTTCCAACTCACAGCCCACCTGTGGGGCATAACCGCTAACAACAGTTGTCATCACGCCTTCTATTTCTACCTTCACACACATCAACATGTCTGACTCTCGTTTCACCTCTACCACATTTCTTACATATTCTTCCTTTAGGATCACCTCTACTCCATTTCTCTTCCCATCCGACCATGATAAAACAGTTTGTAGCCTCCTCCAATGTTTCTAGCCTTGCTGCCCTTCCACCTGGTCTCTTGCACACACAAAATGTCTACTCTTCTTCTCTCCATCACATCAGCTAGTTCTCTACTTTTCCCTGTCATTGTACCTACATTCAGAGTTCCAAACTTCAGACCAACACTTCTATTCTTCCTCTTTTCTCTTTTTCTCCGAACCAAACGCTCTCCTCTTCTTCTCTGTCTTTGACCAACAGTAGCCCAATATCCATCAGTGCCCTGTAGGTCAACAGCACTATTGGCAGTAGTTTTTGACACCGGATGCCCTTCTTGACACAACCCTCACCATTTATCCACGCTTGGGACCGGCACTATAAAACACTGATTCGTCTACCCTATTGGCTGGTTTCGCAACAACATAAATATATCCTAATAATCAAAGAGAAAAATCTCTTAATTTAGGATGTTTTATTTTCATATGTTTTCATTAATTGTTGTTTTTCATTATTGTTGTTTTCAAAGGTAATTTAAGCCAACAAAGCCAGAGATCATTACAGAACACTAAGTGGGTGGGGAAAGTAAACTCTAATGTTTGTTAGACTGCAGAATCTCTGCAGTCATGACATATTTATATAGCAGTTTGTTTAATAATTGCTTTGTTTTCTTAACTGTAAAACACTTCTCTTAACTCTCACAATATTGTGAACTATTGTTTTGTTCAGCCCACGTAAACATTTAAATGAATGTATGAATTAATTTGTGCAGAAGAATTGTTTTTTAAGGTCATTTTTACATGTGCTTAATCTAGCCGGGGCCAAAGATCCTCCTCTGCCAGTGGTACGTAAGTTTGTCCACCCGCTGAAGCAAAGTCCTCTAGATCTGCAGGAGGAGCAGGAAGTGACATGCCTTAGGGAGGAAGTAGTCACCAAGATTTGCTCCAGTCAGCAGATGGCGAAAGACCTGAACCTGATGGACATTAAGATTGGACTCCTGGTAAAAAACAGGATCACACTTCAGGTCAGTCACTCTCAGTTTTGCTATTTGTGAACATAGAAAGAAAAAGTGAATTTATTATCATTTTATTTCTACATATTTATCCAGTCTAGTTTTAAATATGTTTTTTTTCCTTCTATCAGGATGTCGTCTTCCATAGTAAGAAAATGAAGAACAAGAAAAGTAAAACAAGTAAAGATGGTCAAACTGCTGCCGAGTGACTGGGCATCAAGGGTCCAAGTCGAGGACAAAGAAGGAAACTGGAGGCCTACCAACATCTCTTTTACCTTCTACAGGTATTACAAACAGTTTAACTCAACTCTTAGATTTATAGTTAACATCAGAAGGAATGATTTTTTTTATTAAAATATAATTTTGATATACAAAGGGTGACCTGACTTCTCTTCCTGTCTATATAGACAAACCCGTCATATCTCGCCAAGCTGATCTTTCAGATGCCTCAAAACAAGTCAACCAAGTTTATGGACACCGTTATCTTCACTTTGTACAACTACGCCTCCAACCAGAGGAAGGAATATCGACTCCTCAAACTATTCAAGACTTCTTTGGAGGAGGAAATCAAGTAAGGAGGCCAGGCCATCAATGATGGTCACACATCTACCGTCTCTGTGCATCAGTTCTAAGGTAGACCAGATCCAAGACATAGTAACAGGAAACCCAACTGTCATCAAGATGGTGGCAAGCTTCAACAGAGGTGCACGGGGCCACAACACCCTCAGGCAGCTCCTGGCACCTGTGGTGAAGGACATCATCGAGGACAAGGGCTTAGGCATCAACACCAACCCTGTAGATGTGTACAAGGCCTGGGTGAACCAGCTGGAGACAGCCACTGGAGAAGCCAGGTCTGTGCAGGAGACACACCACAAGGTTTTGCAAGATGATTCTGTAGGTGAATGTGTGAAGTTATTTTTTTATGGTTGTTTAACAGCAAGCTGCCTTACGAAGTGACACCCCAACAGGCCGTGTCACATGAGGAAGTATGTAACAGGCTAGAGACGTCTGGTCTGGCTCTGTGTTCTGCTACAGATAAAGTCCTAAACTCCATTGTTTCCTTGCTGGATAAAATCCCGTAAGTTTGGGATATGGCAAATGTCAACTGACAGATCGTTTGCTGTTTGAATTTCCAGGGTTTGATGTTCTGCATGATTCCATTTAACTTAACATTATATTGATGTTTTCAGTTTCTGTGATGCAGAAAATTACACATCACACTTAAAGGCACATACAGTAATACAACATAAATACTTATAATACTATTTATTGAGAGCAGATTAAATGTGTGTTTAGTCTTTGTAACTGAGGTAATGTAGGCTTTGGAGTTTTACTTTGGTGACATTATCTGTGGCAGATCTATTATCAAACTGTTGCACACAATTCACGCCTTTAGGTTTCCAAACATTTTCATTTTCATTCTATGTTTACAAGTTAATCACAACAGTATTGTAAGAGCAGCATGTCTAGCACTAACAGAGCACAAACACATTACAGTATGAAAGATTGTTGCTATGTTATAACGATTTGGCTTTTCGTTTGTGAGCACGACACCAATTGGAGGATTTCTTCTCCCCGTAGTTTCAGCACCAAAATTGAAGAAATCACCTCGTAGGTAGTCTCAGGCAAGGTATGAAATAGCCGGTAGATGGTCGATTCGTTTAATAACAAACGCCAAAACAAAACAGGTCCAATGATAGAGCAAACTAAAACAACTGGAGAAGTATTCAAGAAAATCTCGTACAACAGTTGCCAGTACGAAAATTCAAGAACTAACTTCTAGAATAACTTCCAATGCATCATCAGTGATGTGTATTTTTATACCTATCTGGGGGGAGTGGTTTTCAACTTCCTGGGTGTGTATTTAAATGTTGTAGACCAATGGAGGAAAGAGGTTGTGCCTCTTGTGGCCAATCAAGTTGCCCGCAGTCACCACTATGTGGCACTGCTGCTCCATGATTCAGCAGTCTTGGAGGACATGTTTATGAACCTTTTGTCACTGAGCAAGGTGGTATTACAAAGGAAATGGATGGAACCTTGAAGTCTGGCCAACAACAGGGGGTTACATGGATCAAAAGGAGTGGACAGAAGTCTTCCCATTGTTCCTAGGGGGTAGAGGTGTTTTGGAGTAATCTGGGGAGTTGGTGTGAAGAGAATTTAGGATAAATTCTCTTTGAATGTTTGGGGATATGTGCTTGGGAAGGCCTTTGGTGTCTTAGCAGCTTCCTACTTTCAGACTCAAACCAAATGTGAAAACCACTGAAATCTAACAAGACGCAGACGTATGAGAAATTTAGGTAAGAAGAAAATGTTATACAGTCTAAGTTATATTGTTTTTTAATTTTCATCACATATAGATCCAAACAATTTACACTCATTTTATGGGCAATTTGGAGTAAACAATTAACCCAATCGTCATGTTTTTGAACTGTGGGAAGAAACCAGAGTACCAAGAGAAATCCCCCACACACACGGTGACAACATGCAACTTCATAACTTAGGTTTGTGAAAGACCACAAGTCAATCTTGTGGTCTGATCAAAAAGAGTGGACGGAGGTCTTCCCATTGTTTCTAGGGGGTAGAGGTGTTTTGGAGTAATCTGGGGAGTTGGTGTGAAGAGAATTTAGGAGAAATTCTCTTTGAATGTTTCGGGATATGTAAATGAGTGTGCTTGGGAAGGTCTTTGGTGTCTTAGCAGCTTCCTGCTTTCAGACTCAAACCAAATGTGAAAACCACTGAAATCTAACAATCACAGTACATCATACTGTGTGTTTGGGAGTGTTAGATTTCAGTGGTTTTCACATTTGGTTGGATCTGCAGCAGGAAGCTGCTAAGACACCAAAAGGCTTTCCCGAGCACACACAGTCACATAGCCCCACACATGCAAAGAGAATTTCCCCAAATTCTCTTTACACCAGCTTTATAAAACACCTCTACTCCCTGGGAACACTGAGAAATCTCCCAATCCACATTCACAGGGAACCCCAGATCCACCCATTCCTTTTGATCTCAGCAACAAAAGGGCCATAAACATGTCCTCCAACACTGCAGAATCATGGAGCAGTACCATAATACAAGAACAATAATATGATTAGCCACAAGAGGCCTAGCCTCTCTCTTCCATTGGCCTACAACATTTAAACACACACCTGGGAAGTCCAAAACCACCCAACCCACACAGGTATATAAGCATAAACAACTAATCATACTTTGGAAGTTATTCTTGAGAATTTAAAAAAACAACAGTCTTACACTCCTGGATTGTGCTGTTCACATCCCAGAGGACAGACAACTCAACATAGAGGTGTACAGGAAACCAACCCACACCGACCAGTACCTCCGTTTTGACTCACACCAGGGGACCACAATGACCCATCAGACTCTTAACGACTGTTTACACTTTCACAGTTGACCCCAAGGCCCCACCCAACAGGGTGGAGCTGAAGTAGCTATATTCTTTCACACCTAGAGTATATATCTGCTTTACTCCCCACCACCAGTTAGAACTGAAGAAGCCTCTTGGATTAGAGGTGAAACATCTTCTTTTAGAAAATTCACGTCCAGTTGCCTAACAGAACTTTTTAAATCAATATAAAACATGTATTTGTCTGTTCAACACAAAGACATGGCTGAGCTTTTCTGCACCACGAGTTATGTCAAAAAATTACTTTTTTTGACCAGTTATTGTGGCCTTTAGTTAAAAAGTGTTTATAATCTGTTATAAATCTTTGGCTTGTTCCATTATTTGTCATATTATTTGTTGTGGCATGCTGTTGGTGTTTCATGTCCCGTTTTTTTTTTTTTTTTTTTCATTTTGCATGTAGTTATGGCATGAGGTACATAGCAAAGGTTCTGAAGAACAGCCTAAATGAAAAGTTTCCAGATGCTTCAGAAGACGAGCTGTTAAAGGTATCAGCGCTCATGATTTTGTTTTTATTGTTATTTAACTTTCATTTTACCAGGGAATATCCCATTGGGACATTAAATGCGTCTTTGCATCTTAAGTTGAAACTTTGTTACTAACATGAAGTTTTTTTTTTTTTAGATTATAGGAAACCTGCTGTCGATGAAAATAAATAAATGATGGCTGCATTTGTGCGGGTTGTAACATTCTCTCATCAGCTCTCAGGTCAATTATTTGCCTCTCTTTCACTAAACCACATAATCTTTTCTTCTAGGGTATTTTTTCAGTTATCCTGTGATGTTCCTGAACCAGAGGAGAAGTTTAATATTGATGAATGCTCAGACATGGTCACCTTAAGCAAACCCATCATCTGCATCTCAGTAGAGGAGGTCAGCAATACTCACTTGGTAAATTCAAGCAAAACAAGTTTTTTAGACAGATTTTAAACAGTTTTTAAACAGATTTTATTGTACATTAACAATAGTGACTATATGAGTTAATGGGAAGGAAAACACACAGCCTTCATGTTGTTTCATAATTTTAAATGATTGACAGACTATGTGCTCTGTGAATCAGATTTATTAAAAAACCAAATAATATTCATTTCAATGTTATAATGCTTCTATCTAGTTGTTGTTGGAACATCTGGAGGCCATCTCTCCAGACCATGACCTGCTTCATGAGCTGCTGCAGGACTTAGGAGATGTACCTGATGTTGAGTCTCTACTTGGTAACATCTGACTTTAATTGACTTTTTGTAGCACAGTTCAACTGTAGTGTGTATGTCTATTTACAAGGTGTATGTCCTGTTTCCCTTCAGGTGAGGGAGCAGTTGACCCCGATGACCCAAACAGAGAGGGTGTTCTGAAGTTTTTTCTTACCTATAGTTTTTTCCTACCCGAGTTAACTGCGCATGCGTACATCGGCTAATTTGCCGCTGCAGACAAGCCATAGTTTTCTGCTACCCGACCGTTAAACAAGGTTAGTTTCTTGTATTTTTAATACTTATGACCAGTATGCAGTGCATCGGTTTGACTTTTATTTCAACTTGCCACGTGCATGAG